TCCAATGTCCCTGTTTTACCTAAATGGGCAGAAGTTGCTCCCAGGCAGACAGATGCATTTATAGCGGCCCCCGTCTCGTCCCTCTAGGCTCCAGGCTCTAGGCTCTGTGCTGTGTGCACGCTCCGCGCAGTGCGCTCCCTGCCATGCTCAGGGGGGCAGGTAGCGGAAGGAACGTGGCTAACTCAGCCCTCCCGTTGAGGCTGCATGGTCAGGAGGTGAGGCCCCCTCGTTCGAGGCCATCCTGAGGAGCCCCAGATTGCCACCCCAGAGGCTGGCGGCGCCCTGTGAGCAGATGCAGATGATGGTTGTGACTGCTGCCCCGGTGCCGCCCGGCTCCACTCAGGTCCACTAGAGCCCTGAATCCTTCCTGGGGCTGAGCAGGAAGGGGCCCTAATGAGGCTTTTCCAAGTTGGGGAGGGATCTACCCTCCCCTTAGTCTGCTGGTGGCCTCTGTCCTAGTTGGATGAGTCATCCTCGCCCCTGGCTCCCTGAATCCAGCCCAAGCCTTAGATGAGGAATAAAAAGGTGATTATCTAAAGGAACAGCACTAGCTGTTCTCCTGATCAGAACACTGTTCCGGCTGCAGTGGATTCCAGTTAGCTGGGAGGAAATATCCTGTTCAAGACACAGACCCAGAAATGGCTGGATTTCTGGACAGGTGTGGGCTCTGGTAAGGTGCCTCCCTTGTGAGATTGGCGCCTGCTATTCAGGCTCTCTGGCCAGAATTATGGAAACCTGCCATCGCGGAGAAGAAAGCACGCTACTCTTTACAGAGGACCTACTGCCTGCCCCAAGCCACACCTGGCATCTCGTTCCCCCCATCATGCTGGAAAGTAGCTTCCTTCTTCCCTTTTCCACAGACGAGGAGCTGAGATTCAGGACGTCAGGGATTTATTCAAGGTCACACAGCCGGGGCGGGGGGCGGGGGTGGCCGAGCCAGGATTCAGCCCTGTCTGTCTGATCCAAAGTGCACACACCTTCCCAACACCGCCTGCCTGTGGAGACAGAACTACACCGGGATGGTGACCTGGCCCCAGGGGAATGCAGGGTGCCGTCCCCCAGCATTGCACCCACTGACGGGAGGGTAAACTGTGTTTCTGAAGATGGAGAAGAAGCTACTGTAGCACTTAAGAGCTACACAACTCCCCTTTCCCACCCCCACCACAACTGCGTTCTACACTTGGCACTCCACCAATCCCTTGAGGCCCTGCACACAGATACGTCACCCACACTATGCCACGCTGGGACTCTGCCTACTTTCCTGGGCAGAGACTGTCCCCTCACCAACATCCTCAGCTTCCCCACTACCTACCACAGAGTTCAGTGAAGGCCAGCCCCTGAATATCTGATAAACTCTATTGATGCTGAGTCAGACTGTGCAGTTTCTTGTATGGAAATTAGGCCTTAATAAACCTAATAAACCATGGGAAATCCCATGGACAGAGGAGCCTAGGAAATCCCATGGATGACCCCCACAGTCCATGGGGTTGCAAAAAAGTCAGACATGACTCAGCAACTAAACAACACCCGAAAAGAGATTTCTTTAAAAATATACTTAATAAGTATTTCTGGGGCTAAATATCCCTTCAACCAATTTGACTGATGCATCAATATCACACTAATAAAGGCCTCATGTTTAGAGACTTTCATGAACTTGCCTCTCCCCACTTTCTTACCTTTACACTTCCACCTTATAACCAAGACAAAAACTCAAACAGTATTTAAAAAAGAAAAGAAATCGAGACCAATGCAACACAAAGTCTGAAAGCAAGAAGGATTTAGGCTTCTAAATCCTTCCTCTAAAGAGGAAGACCTTCCTTACAGGTAATGTGGTTACACTGGAATGAGCTGGTGGGTAACCAAAGAGGATCACTGGACCCCCCACCTCTGCTTGGCACTCCCAAGTCTGGTGCACTCAGCCCAGGCATGGGAACGGCAGGTGACTCAGGGAATCCTAAGTGGCGGTTGCTAGGTTACAAGCTTCCTCAGTGTGCACTGGGTGTAAGGACTAAAGGATGTCACCTGGCCGGGAGGCAGAGCTGTGGGGGAAGGAGTCGGGGCGATACAGAGAGGCCAGGACTTCCAGAACAAGCAACGAGGCCGTGGCCTGGAAGGCATCCTGTCCGAGTACCTTTCCAAGGGTCTGACTCCCTGGATCCCACAGTCTTCAAAGAGCGTGATGCTTGCAGGACACGAACGTTAGTTTAGAACTGTCCTATTCTGGGGGCTGATTCTGGTCCTCTCCCAGCTAAGCTGCCTGGCCCAGACAGCATGGCAACGGGGAGAGGGTAGTCCCTGAAACCCCTGAGGGGCCCTGCTCCTTCCTTCACTGTAATTGGGCCGAAAGTCAACTGAGAGGAGAGAGGTTTGACGTCCTTAGTAATGCGCAGTTCTTTCATTTGTGATTTAACTGGAATACAGTGAGAGGCGCTGGATTTGGAATTCACCAACTAGACCCACCCTGAATGGCTCACATGGTCATCAGTCAATTACTTCATTTCACGAAGGCTCAGAGTCCTCATCTTAAAAAGCAGATACTGATACCTGACTGACAACGTTTCCTAGGGTTGTTTTCAAGATTATGGGAAAGCGGATGTGCAAGTTCATTTCAAGTTAGGCAAACATAAAGTAGTATGAGCTTTATATACCTGCTCACTGAGCTGTCCCAGCTGGGGTGGGTGGGGCCACAAGAAGCCTTACCTCGCTGCTTTGGTAGAAGGTTCATCGGGCAAAAGAGGTGAAGGCGGACCCACCCAACAAACCCCTTTGAGGAATATGTATGGCTTTCAATACTCTTGATCACCATGTCCAGATTTTGTGAAGACAGTTTAAGTTGATGGTTGAGGGTGTGTCCCCAGTTCCTCTGGGCAGATTGTGACCTCCATGAAAAAGAAAAATGTTTGCTGCTTCCAGTGAAACTTCATTAATGCACATCACATTTTTTTTTAATTTATACATTCTCTTTAAATAAACAGAACATTACTTTCAGGGAGGGGGAAATTTTTCCCTTCCCAATCTTGAGTTATTTCGGCTGGTCTAATAATTAAAAGGACACAAGATTATCAGCAGGGATAAAAAATTTAACTCACACATCCAAAGGTCCCATAGAAATGGGACCCCCAAAGTGACCAGGGCAGGTTGTTTATACATCATGTTTAGACAAAGAAACAACTATTTGTGAAATTTTAACAAAGGAACTCATGCCTGGGGTAGCAGACTAATAAACAAAATTTGTTTATACAAATTTCTCAGCCTTGAATTCCCTACCTCTGGTGATGAGATTGCTTTCTCTCCTCTTGGTTTGGGTAGGGTACTTTGACATGGAAGATTTATTTCCCACTTTCAGGGGTAAAGAAGGGGTTCAGAGTGTTTTTCAACATCAATTTTTTCCCGCCGCCTATTTCTTAAAGAACTAACTTAAAACAGTCAATATGCCATTGTGGTATATCTCAGGGTGGCCTGCTCTGAGCCCCAGCACAACCATCCTCTGTGAGGTTCTAGAGGTGCTTAATATGTAAGTACAGAGAACTCAAACTAAAAAGCAGTGGAATTTCTAAGCCAAGAACTCAAGATGTTAAGATGGGCCTATTGGGAGCTGTGAGTTCTCTTTCTCACAGGAAGTCATTTCTCAGTGAGGGGCAAATTTCCTTTTTCTTGGTTTTATTGACAGTAGTTGTAATAGTTACGGCATTAATGGTGATTTGCCAGGCCCTTGCTGTGTGTCAGAAGCTGAACTGAACAGTTTACCAATGTCATCTCTTTTAATCTTTGCAAAAATCTATAATGATGTATCTATACCATGGAATGCTATACAGAAACAGAAAGTAGTGAACTGGTGATATATGCAGTGACTTGGATGAATCTCCTCAGAATTATGCTGGGAGCAAAAAAAAAAAGCCAATCCCAATAGTATTCTTTTTTTTTGTGGTGGGGGGGGGGGCCCTCACTGCACGGCTTGTGGGATCTTAGTTCCCCAACCAAAGACTGAACCCCAGGAGCCAGCAGTGAAGGTGCCAAGTCCTAACCACGGGACTGCCAGAGAATTCTCTACATAACATTCTTGAAATGACAAAACTATGGAAACGGAGAATACATTAGTGGTTGCCAGAGGTAAATCAATTATGCCTCAAATTTTTTTTAAAAAAAAGGCAACATGAAGGGTTCCCGTGGTGATGGAAATTTTCTGTATCTTGACTGATAACTTCCATATTCTGGTTAGGATATTATTATTCTATACATTTTGCAAGATGTTACCATTGAGGGAGTTTGGATAAAAGGCGTTATTTCTTACAACTGCGAAGGAATCCACAATTTATCTCAAAATACAAAGCTTAACCTAAACAAAATAAGGAAACTGAAGTTCAGAGTAAGTAGTTAAATTCTTTTAAAGCCTGAATTTAAATCCAGGTCTGTCAGATTCCCAGGCCTGAATGTTTCAAGACTTGGCTCTGTTCAGGAGAACTGCATACTGGGACCCAGAAGCCTGCGGTTCCTCACACCAAGCGGCTCCTCACACCAGGCGGCTCACTGGCCTCAGGGGCACCTCTGTTACTGAGGACTGCTGTCCTGATAAAGCCATGGCAGGTCTTGAAAGAATTATTTGGCAAGCCCTGTGGGTTGAGGGCTTGAGGGCCCAGATTTGATAACCAGGTTTTCCCTTCCTAAGGTGTGTAAAGAAGGATGATGTAGAAGGGACCACTCACGTGTTTGCCTTCCCACTTTTGTCTCTGGCTGGCTGTGTGTCCGCCAAACTCTGCATTCGTCAGTTTCTCTATGGATATGACCATTTCCGGGTGGAGGGTGTGGTGGCGATGTGTAAATTATGCATGTGTGCACAGGTCAGCGTGTACACTGTTTGGATGACACCCACATAACTCGTTCCTATTAGGTTAAACCATCTGATAATACCTCCCCCAAAGCAGAGCCCACTGTTGAGCCAGTCTGTCACGAACTGGGTCTGTGTACTGTAGATAAACTGGGTAATTGGACTCGCCGCCTCCTCACCACCCAAAACAAACACTCACAAACCGCCCACCCCGCCCTGGAGCGAGTCCCGGCCCGTCATCCGGATACTTGGCTCTAGGGCCCCGCTTTCCCTGAACACTAAGCAAGGGGGTGCGCGCCTCCCGCCGGGCCCTCTCCCTCCCCCCGCGGCCGGAGCACCGAGGCTTATGTAAAGGGGCCGCGGGGCGCACGCGACTGCCCGCACAGGTGTGGCGGCCGCGGGAGGCTGTGCGCGGGGCCGCCCCCACCCCAGGCGGCCGCTCGGCTTCCCTCGCGCTGCTCACTTGTTCTCCGCATCCGCCTGGGTGACGGCGGCGCGCGCCAGGCAGGACGGCGCGCCCCCTCCCCTGCGCCCCGCGCCGCTCTCGCGTAATGCGCTTTCCGCGCCCCGCCGCCCGCCGCACCCTCCGGCCTGGCTGTGTGAGCGGCGCGGGGCGGGGGCGGGAGTCGGCGCGCGGGGAGAGCCGCGGGGGACGGGCGGCGGCGCCCGGAGGTGTCAGCTCCTCGCTTTGCCGGGAGGCCGCCCGGCGCCCAGCGCGCAGGGGCCCTCCCTGTCCTCCGCGCGCCCCCAGGGTCTCGGACCCGCGGAAGACAGAGCGGTGCTGGGGAGACGCCGCCGCGTCTTCCCTTGAAAGTTGGCCGGGGCGGGGGGCTGGGAGGCCAGGAGGCCGCGCGCGGGGCCCCCGCCGCCCTTGATTCGCACCGCTCATCCCGCGGGGCCGGGCGCGGACGCCGCCGGGCCGCCGAGTCTTGAGAGACCGAGAAGCGCTGGCGGGCGTCGGGGCCCTCGCCAGCGGGCGGGCGGCGGCGGACCCCAGCGAGATGGAGACGGCGAGGGGCGGCGCGGAGTAGCTGACCGACCCCCGGGCTCGCCCCGCGCTCCTCGGGGGCGCGGCGGGCGGGGCCCCCGGGACTGCCATGGAGGTGCCCACCGTCAAGGACTTCCAGTGGAAGCGCCTGGCACCGCTGCCGAGCCGCCGGGTGTACTGCTCCCTGCTGGAAACCGGGGGACAGGTCTATGCCATCGGGGGCTGTGACGACAACGGCGTCCCCATGGACTGCTTCGAGGTCTACTCCCCCGAGGCCGACCAGTGGACCGCCCTGCCCCCGCTGCCCACGGCCCGGGCCGGCGTGGCCGTCACCGCCCTGGGGAAGCGGATCATGGTGATCGGGGGTGTGGGCGCCAGTCAGCTGCCCCTGAAGGTCGTGGAGATGTACAACATCGACGAGGGCAAGTGGAAGAAGAGGAGCGCGCTGCGCGAGGCCGCCATGGGCATTTCGGTCACCGCCAAAGGCGAGTGGGGCCAGGGCCGAGGCGGGCGGAGGAGGGGTGGGAGGCCCGGGGAAAGGGGTGGAAGCCAGCCCTGGACTGGAGGCCACTGTCACATTACATGGACACTAAAACTAAAGACCCGCTGGCCTGGTTTTATAGGTGGGAAAATTGAGTCAGGCAAGTGAAGTGCGTAGTAAATCCACATGATGCCAGAGCTCCACTCCACCCGAGCAGCCTCCTCCCAGCAAGGTGGGCAGGCGTGGCCAGAGGGGAGAGCCACAGAGGTAGATGTCCCTGTCGATACCTTCATTCAACAGAATGGGTGGGCCTCCCACCCACAGCACCAAATCCCTTGAAATTTGCCTTGCAGGTGCCACCACCTCCAGACACATATTTGGGGTCCTGGGTATGTTCATGCCATCTTCATACCATCCCCAGGCCCCACGGGGAGGGACTTGGGACCTGATTCCAGGACCTTCTCCCTACAGTCTGCCTCCTAATCTCAAAGGTACTGATGAGTGGAGACCAGAACGTTCCTAGGGTTCATGCTCCCGCGGCTTCTTGCCCAGGTTCACTAGGTTCTCAGGACATGCGGCTGCTCACCACATAGCTTTATGCTTCTTATCTCAGTTTCTCCAAGCCCATCCTGTCTTTCTTTTCAGGCCTGGTATAGCCCAGAGTAGATAGAGGCTCCGAAAACTGTTTTTCTAAAACACAGTTTTATGGGAAATGGCCCAGTAGGAGTTAGAAGATCCCAAGTACAGATCAGACAGGCTTAGCGGCTTGCAACCTTACCTCCTTCTTTTGCAGAATTATTTCAGCTGCCTGTCAGGTCTCCTGTAGGTCAGAAATCAGTATTTCTTGAGCACCTGCTCTGTTCCTGACACAGTTCTAGGTCCCAGGGAGGAAGGAAAGAGGCAGAAGATCTGATCCCTGCCTTGAGGAGCCCAGGTCTTACCAATGAAGAAGATCAGATAGAGAAATTCAGAAGCCCACAGGGCAGAGTAGCCAACTCCTGAACTCCCAGTAAGAAAGATGGAAGGCCTGGAGGCCCGTGGGGAAATGGAGAGGGAAAGGGGAGCCCTTTATCCTCAGGCCGCAAGAAGTGGTGCTGAAAGATTAAGAACTAACATTTATTGAGTCCTTACCATAAGTGCTTAATAGGTATTAACCCCTTTGACCCTCAGAACTTGTCTGATGAGGCAAGTAGTATCACTATCCTCATTTTGGAGAGAAGCAATGTGGGGCCCAGAGAGGTTGAGTAACTTGCCCAAGTAACAGCTTGCAGATGATGGTCAAGTCTGTGCTCTTAACTATGGCGTCGAATGGGTTCAGCAGTTAGTTTACTAAAAATTTACATGCTCATGTGCCAGGCTTTATACCAGATGCTGGGGCCACAGATTAACAAATTTCCAGGACCTAACAATCTATTGAAAGAAACATAACAAAGGTTATCTCAGTAACAGTGTAGCAAGCAGGGTGATGGCCACAGGAGCCACCACTTTCAGCCCAGCCTTGCAGTTCAGGGACACCAAGGTGATTCTGAAAGGGTGAGCAAGAATCGGGCGCAGGATCGGTGGTTGCAGTGGAGGGGAGGGTTCTCAGCTTCAGAGGTGTAGGTGAGAGCAGGGATGGGAGACGCAGTGTATTGAGGTCTCTTTAGCAGGCCCCATCTCCTAGCTAGGGTTGGGATTTCTTCGTTTCTCTCTTTAGTAATATTGGAAAGTAGAAAGAAGGACTCATTCCTGCAATTCCCTTGAAAAATAAAAACCTCTTCGAGCCAGAAGTGGTGAGGACTGGCCTCTAGTAGACAGAACGCCAAGCAGGGATGGGTCCCTGGGAGAAGAGGGCCCTGGGGGTAGGGCTGTGTCCTGAACAGGCTGCCTGAGGCCCTGGGGTGAGGGCAACTTGGAGGCTGTGCGCATCCTCCCTGGTGTGCTGTGTCACCTGCCCCCCCAAGCAGTAGAGAAGCTCTCCTGTCCTCAGCGTGCCCAGCTCGCTGCCTGCTCAGAGCTTCTTTCATCCAAAGCCTCTCCCTCTTTCACCCCCAGCCCTATCCTATTCAGTGCAAGCTGCCTCCTGGAGCCCACAAGCTTTCCTGTGTGTCCAGGAGGATGGCGTTCCCCTACCTGGGCAAGAAAGGAAGAGCAGCAGGCCAGTGTCCCCCAAGGCCATTGGCAGCAGGGCTGACCTCATCTCCAAAGGCTCCCTCTGAATCTCGACTTCTGGTCTGGGAGTGCCCAGCAGCAGGCTGCTCCTGGAGGACGTCAGGGGAATACTGTTCCTCTTTGGCATCTCTCTGGCTCCCAGGAAGGAGGAGAATGGGGGGGACAAGACCTGCAAAGGGTTGTCCAGGCCTGGACTCCACCGCAGTCCACCTGTGGGCAAGGCTTGGCATCTTGGGCTTAACCAAGGGCCAGGCAGCAAGGAAGGTAAGGCACGTAGGCCTGACGTGGCTTCAGGGAGACCCAGGCTTGACTGTGGCAGGAGCTTTTAATGGTGCCACCAACCCATTCTCTGGCAGAGCAGTGGTTGGGAACATGGCCCGGCTTCAGTGCCCGCATTCAAGGGGTTGACAGAGCCTGGCCAAGGTAGCAGCTGAGCGCCATGGGCCTGTCTCATGGTGTCTGTCATGTGGCCTCTCTCCCTAGATTACCGCGTGTACGCAGCGGGCGGGATGGGCCTGGACCTCCGTCCACACAATCACCTCCAACACTATGACATGCTCAAGGATATGTGGGTGTCTCTGGCACACATGCCCACCCCTAGATATGCCGCCACCTCCTTCCTCCGAGGCTCCAAGATCTACGTGCTGGGTAAGGACAGACTGCCTGGAGCATGTCTGTCTCTCCTTCCCTCCCGGATCAGTTCCTGTTGGAAGCAGTGCTTGTGTGCACAGCATCTCCTGGGCACTGGGGGTTAACCATACTGCCCCCCACCCTCAGGGAGCTTCCTATGTGATCGAATAACAGTGAGAAGGGGGAACCCAGCCCCAGTCCCCAGGTTGACTCTCCCGCCCAACCTTTGCCCTGCCCTGGCCTCCAGGAGGACGGCAATCCAAGTATGCGGTCAACGCCTTCGAGGTCTTTGACATTGAGACGCGCTCCTGGACCAAGTTCCCCAACATCCCCTGCAAACGGGCCTTCTCCAGCTTTGTGACCCTGGACGACCGCTTGTATAGCCTGGGGGGCCTGCGGCAGGGGCGGCTCTACCGGCAGCCCAAGTTCCTCCGGACGATGGACGTGTTCGACATGGAGCAAGGTAAGCTGGACACCAGGCCCTAGCGACCCACCTCCCTTCTGCCCACCCTGCACCTTACCCCCACCCCACCCATCTGCCCCGGGCCCATTCACCAAGTGGCGTGAGCCTTGCAGAAGTCTGAATGCTCCTCTCCATTCAGGGCTATTCTTGGGATCAAATTCTTTCATCTGTCCAGGGCTCCCTCTGATTGGCTGGCTGTTTTTATCAAAGCCTTTCCCAGCTGTTGTTCCTTCTTATAACATCCAGCCAGGCCAGGTGAGGGAGGGCTTTGAAACAGAAGGATGCTGACTCGGACACTGCCTCGAGTCTGCCTCCTTTCCAGCTTAAAGTCCATGAAGACTGAGGTGGGACAAGGTGATTCTTGGTAAGAGGTTATGGTTCCTTGGCCTGCAGCAGGCATGTAGAGGGTAGGTTGAGTGCCATTTCACACAGCAGGAGGCATTGTACATGCCCTGAACATACAGGGTAGATGGAATCGAGGTGCCGCCCGGGGCGAGAGCAGTTTGGCACCCGTGCGCATTTGGCAGGGCGGTCAGCATCTCATTCTCTCTGTTTCTCCTGACATCGCCCACGGCCTGCAGGGGGATGGCTGAAGATGGAGCGTTCCTTCTTCCTCAAGAAGCGGCGGGCAGACTTTGTGGCCGGCTCTCTGAGTGGTCGGGTCATCGTGGCTGGAGGACTTGGTAAGGATAGAGTTTCCAGGCTGTGGCCTGGTGCTGTGTGGACTCTGGATGTGCATGAGCAGAAGAGGGTGCTGGCTCCTGCCACACTGCCTGCCTACCACCTGATGCCAAAGCACTCTCTTCCTCCCAGCCTCGACGTCCTGCCTCCGTGGGTGGGCCTCAGATATGGTCTCTCTGTCCTCTTACACGGGAGAAACTGAGGCTCAGAGAGCATAAGGGACATGCTGAGAACCACGTGACACTGGCTGGCTGAGCCCAGGTCCCCCGGGGCCCTGTCCAGGAAGGGCTAGAGGTAGAAGGGATTGGCCTTGGTCCTCTTTATCTTCTCCCTGGACACTCAGCTCTGTCAGGGAATAGGAAAGCAGTCTGATCAAATCAGCTATTCTGATGGACTCAAGATTTGCTGGATGAGCCCTCCCAGAGATTAGGGTCTTTAACGGTGGGACTCCACCGTCAACTAGGGAGAGATAAGTGGGCAGTGGGGCTCCTGGGAACCCAGAGTTTACTCAGTGTGGACAGATTCCCCGACTTTACCACGCAGGAAAGGAACTTGACATGAGCTAGACCGTGTGAGCAGCTTGCTTCGTTACGGGCAGGAGAGGCAATAGTGTCTAGAAACTTGTGGTTAAAGCAGGCAGTGGGGGAAGAAAGCTGAGTCTTTCATCTTGAGGAGATGGAAGGACTGAGAAGGCAGGAAGGGCGAAGTGGCTGTTTGACAAAAGGGTGGGGAAGACCTGCGGCCCAGGGAGTCCAGGGTGCTGTGCTTCTTCTGCCTGTGGTTCCTGAGGGAGGTGGGAGGTGGGTCCCTTCCCCCAGGGACGGGTGGCTGGACCGCTTGGTGAGGCCCGGCCCCTCGCACTTTCAGGGAACCAGCCCACGGTCCTGGAGACGGCTGAGGCGTTCCACCCGGGGAAGAGCCGCTGGGAGGCCCTCCCCGCCATGCCCACGCCCCGCTGCGCCTGCTCTAGCCTTGTCCTCAGGAACTGCCTACTGGCCGTGGGCGGCGTCAACCAGGGTCTGAGCGACGCGGTGGAGGCCTTGTGTGTCTCGGACTCCTAGCTGGCTCTCGGCCCAGCCACGGCGTCCCGGACCAGACCACCCACTCTGGACAAGAGTTGGGGCCGCTTCCCCGGGTACCAGCTCCTGTCTGCAGCCAGTGGGGTCAGGCCCTGGGGCTCTAAGTGACCTCTCCACCTCCAAACCCTACCAACCCGAGGAAGCTGGAAGACGTGTCAGTGACGTGGCCACCCCTCCTCCCCCACTGGAGCCGAGGTGACTAAGGCGGGGAGTCCTTGCTGCTCAGGCAGAGAAAGGTACGGGAGCGCCTGCTGCCTCCCTGCAGTGAGCTCACCTCTGCCATCTCCTGGGTTCTGACCCAGAGGCTGGCTGCTCACCGCTGTCCTTTCCCTGGCTCTGCACCCGTCCCAGGGTCTCCTGAGATGAAAAATGGACAAGGGCTGTCCCAAAGCCCTCTTGCCTCCCTTGGCCTCCGTCTCTTCCCCGCGGGTGGCTGACTGTGGGCCTGCCCTTCCTCATCTGCCCAGCAAGAACTGGCCCTTGAGCTGGCGGCGGCAGGATGGGGAGGGAAGTCAGGTTCGTGGGGGCCGGCCCAGCCTAGCCGCCCTGGCCGGAATGGACCAGTCCTGCTTGGGGTCCTGGCGGGAATGTAATGATGTGGCAGGGGCAGACTGCTAGCCCAGGGTCTGCTCCCCACCCTTCTCCTCACCCCGTTTCTCCTTCGGGCACCCCTCCCCACCAGAGGCCTGGCCCTTGGTCACCAGTGGCCCCAGAGCACTTCCGTGTGAAACTTGCTCGTTTACACTGTGGCATCCACATCCATGAAGGGTGGATTCGCTGCACTCTGGTTAACAGCAGCAGCGCAATGATTAAAACCTACATTCCTGTCTTGCATGGCACCCTCATGCGGGGCTGGGTGGACGGGGTCTGGACACGAGAAGGGGACCCCGCAGAGCAGCCCCTCTGACGTTCTCAGGCCACACAGGACCCTGAGGGGCCATTCGTTCTTGGCTGCTCACTCTGAGAAGGCTCCTCCTTCAAACCACCTCGCCCCGAGCAGTCGCCTCACCCCCAGGAAAACAGCGCACTTTCTGTCTCCGGAGCGTTGACGCGCCGTGGGTGTGTTAGGAAAAGGTTGCGCTTGTTAGCTGACCTCTTCGTCAGGTTACTCTCGACCCGATCTTTGTCAGGTCTAGCCTCATTTCATTCAGCTCATGCTCATTTCTGTTTTGCTCAGAGTAGAAAGGGAATGGCTCACTGATGTAAAAACACAAAGTTATGTGCCTCCTTTTAGCTGGTACAGTGCCTCTTCCCAATTCCAAGTTGTTTTCAAAAGCTGTGCTAACACCGGGACTACAAAGATGAAAAAAATATGTGCCCTGGAGGGGCTGTGGGGGTCAGATAGCACTCACTACGCAAGGGTATTGTTATGTCTCTCGAGGCAGGAACACCTGTCCAAGGGGCCGGGGGAGCCTCCTGGAGGAGGTAACCCCTCCACCAAACCTTCACAGACGAGGGGAGCCAGGTTCTGGACAGGATGCGGTTTTCCTTCCCTTTCTCTGGGCACCTGCTCTTCTCTCCTGGGCCCTGGAAGGACACTGCCACCTGCTGACCGAGCCGTTCCTTCCCACCCTGGCATTGCATGGCAGCGGGCGCCCCCTGGTGAGCAGACTGCAGGAGGCCTTCCCCACTCCATCCAGACCCCCTTCCCATTTAGCTTAGCCCATTTTAGTTTAGTTTAGGAAAGGGGGCTGCAGAAGCCAACACTGTTCCTTAGGGGTACAGCCAGCCCCAAAAGTTCTTCCCATCATGAGAATAGGGGACTGACCGCTGGAATGTGAGGGCCGTCGGACTCAAGCTGGCATCTGCCAGGACTCGCCTGCCGGAGTCCATGCTGGGAGGACTCTGGGGGAGCTCACTGCAGAGCGAGGGAAATAGGGGGTGTCGGGAGCACACGCTGCAGCGTGCCCCGTGCCGCTGTGGAGCGCGCTCCGCATCGGGTCTAGTGGCCCCTGACACCGGGGGCCTTCTCATCCCTGTGCCTCTCGGGGTCCCTCCACTCTCTTGTCTTCATTTCCCAGCCTGTAAAACAACAGCAAGGACAATGCCATCTCACAGGGTGCTTCAGTCCTGGGGTTAACCCTGGAGTAGGCAGTATCCTTGTATTTTGCACTTGAGACTGCTAAGGCTCCAAGAGGTTATATAACTTGTCCAAGGTCACAAGCTAGTGACTGAACCAAGTCTGACTCCCAAACCTGTGACCACAGCACTGCATTGCCTCAAATGGAATAGCACATAGAAAAAGGAAGACAGTCAGCTGCGCTGCACCGTGTAAGGGGTTCAAAATGGCAAACCTAAAAAGATGAAGACTGTTTCCTGAGGAATGAATGTTTTCTGTTGTTGAGGGAGAGACAGGGTGTTCTCAAGCCCACTGGGGGACAGCACACACACACAGAAAATCCAGGGAGATGCAGGCAGTGCCGATCTAGGGGCCTTGCTTGCCTTGCTAAGGACTCTGGACTCGATCCACATGGGAAACTGGGAGCAAATTAAGGATTTTGACTGGAGAAGCATCATGGGGTCTTCTTCTGAGAAAAATGAAGTGAGGAAAATCACCAGGACATATCTAAGATCACAAAGGACCCCAGTGGATTTCCCTGGTGGTCCAGTGGTAAAGAATCTGCCTGACAATACAGGGGACACATGCCGGAGCCTGCCGGCAAACAAACCGGTCTCGAACGCAATCGACGAAATACCTGAGAAATAAGACTCAGAAAGAATGGGGTTGAGAGGGAGGGAGCCAGCTCTTGGCTGAAGCTGACCACAGACGACTTTATTGAGGGGTAACATACATATATATGCTAACAGGACTCACTAAATTTAGTTCAAAGACATGCATACATGCAGAATCGCAGACATTCGCTCAGGAATTTTATCTCAACTCTTTAAGATGAGCAAAGCATGGCACTGGCATCTTAGTGTAAATTAAATCATCCACAGGAGCCTGACAATCTTGTTAGAGTCAGGAAAATCCAGCAAAAGGTTGCTGCAGCATTTCCCTTTGACGGAGGTGTGAAAGGCCAATTTGCACTTTAACAAATCAGGGGTGGCGGGACAGAAAGGGACCTTTTGATCTCTCTCAGGGCCAAGAAGGGGCCTGAGCAGTCAGGCCGGCTCCCCGCAGACACGGGTTCAATCCTTGGCCTGGAAAGATTCCACGTGCCAAGAGCAACTAAACCTGCGAGCCACAACTACTGAAGCCCGTGCTGCTCACAGCAACTGGAGAAAGTCTGTGCATAGCAATGAAGACCCAGCACAGCGAAATGGGAATAATAATAATAACAATATTTTTTAAAAAAAAAAAACAAAGAAGTCCAGTTGGTGTTGCAATACTCAGAAAAACATGTGGGCCAAACCTTTCAGGCCCCCTCTGGAGGGAGGTCCACCTGCTGTGCAATCCAAGTGGCAGGAGGGTTTGGGACCACAGAGGGTGGACTAGTCCTCCTTTCCATTGCTTCTTCTCCCCCAGAATTTCTTTCTAATGATCTCTTGCATTTGATTGAGCTTTCTGGCCCATGGAGACCCTCATGGGAGGTGGGGTGCCGTCGGCCTTTTACAACCCCCATCTTGTAGAAGAGACTAAATCAGCAATCCTGTGATTAAACCGAGCAGCACAGCTGGCAAGTGACGGGAAGGAGATTCGAATTCAGCTTGTGGTGGAGGGGAGTGCAAACCTCCGCCCCCACCGTTCTGAGCTCTACAGGAAGAGATGGCAACCCCACCCCCACCCCCACCCCCACTCCCAGTGTCTGCAGAGCAGGACCAGTGCTCAGGTCAAAGGCTTCCAGCTCCAGAGAGCTGGAGAAATCTGCTTGGTGAGATCAAAGAGTTGTGTGGGCAGGCGCTTCTTTTTGGAATTGAACAGCTGCAGAAGGGAAGGCAAGAGGCGGGGCGGGCAGGAGCTGAAGAGGCGGCGCATAAAGCACGCAGACGGTCGGGCAGGTGAGTTTCCTAGGTCTGCAGAGCACAGCAGACTGGCGGCTTCAGAAACGACAGAAATGTGCTATCCCGCAGTGCTAGCGGTCTGGGATCCGGGGGTGGGGGGGTGGGGAGGTCTCCTTGCCTCTTCCCAGACCAGAGGACTGCGCTGCCCTGGGAAGGCTTCCTGGCAATCCTGCTGTAATAACTGGGCCTCAGGGGAAGCGGGGATTTGGTGCCACGAGTGCACACGGAAGTGGGGGGTGATGTGAAAAAAGACTGGAAGGCAAGTTGGAGCCTATGCAGACCTTGAACGGTGGATCAGCGCCTCCAGAAGGGTTGGGGGAAGTGGGCCAGCCGAAGTATTCATATGATGATGGTTCAGCCTCTCCAAGCGCGCCCCTCCCCACCCAAGGTGCAGGGAGTGACGGGTGGGGGAGGGCCCAGGGGGAGAAGCTGATCTCTGGGCGGGGCTCCAAAATCACTGCAGATGGTGCCTGGAGCCTTGAAATTAAAAGACGCTTGCTCCTTGAAAGAAAAGCTATGACCAACATAGACAGCATATTAAAAAGCAGAGACATTACTTGGCCGACAAAAGTCCGCATAGTAAGAGGTATGGCTTTTCCAGTAGTCACGTATGGATGTGAGAGTTGAACCGTAAAGAAAGCTGAGCATCGAATAATTGATGCTTCTGAACTGTGGTGTTGGAGAAGACTCTTGAGAGTCCCTTGGACAGCAAGGAAATCCGACCAGTCCATCCTAAAGGAAATCAAGACTGAATATTCACTGGGGGGACTGATTACTGAAGCTGAAACTTCAATACTCTGTCCACCTGATGTAGCCAAAGAGCTGAGTCGTTAGAAAAGACCCTGATGCTGGGAAAGATTGAGGGCAGGAGGAGAAGGGGATGACAGAGGATAAGGTGGTTGGATGGCATCACCGACTCGATGTACATGGGTTTGAGCAAACTTCAGGAGTTGGTGATGGATGGGGAGGCCTGGCATGCTGCAGTCTGTGGGGTCGCAGAGTCGGACACGACTGAATGAACTGAACGAGGTCTTCGC